GTATCTAAACATCATGAAGTTATTCTGGCTAATTATCCTGAACTAAGACCAAGATGGCGGCGCTGAATGATCATTATTTGCCGCCATTTCAGCCTTTTGTTCTTCACTCTTCTCCTCCCGAACTGAAGGTGAGCGTCTCATACAGGCGGCGGTTCCTGCTGAACAGTGTTGTTCCTGCAGCACCGCAGTTTTTAGCGCTCTGGAATTCCCTCGGGAATATCGAGAGGCGGACTACGGGCTCAGCCAAGGTTTAACCCCCACCGGACATCGGCTACCAGCGTTTCTCCCGCCAATGTTCGGCCTTTGGCGAACAAAACGGAGGAACTGCGACTCTGGACTACAACGAAGTTTGAGCGAAGTTTAACGCCGCGTCCCAAACCGCAATTAGTGTAGTACGTGAAGTACAGAAGTGTGTGGTTTGGGACGCGGCGTAACGTTATGCAAATAAGGAGCGAAGCTGGGTCAGAGGCCGTTTATGAGGAGCCTGGCCGCTTCCTATTTCCTCCGTTATATCAAAAACAGGACTACGGAACAGCAGAGGGCGCCCGTGAGTGAGTCCTCAGTGAATGGGAGTGACTGGAGCTCAGCGGCTAAAGACAAAAAGTTAAAATAGTTTCTAATCTCTCGCCCAGAACGTTTCTTTAATTTTAGAAGGTAGAATGATGAATTTCACTAAAAAAAATAGAAATCTCACCTGTATGTTTCCTTTTTTCTACAGCAAAAGGGTTTTGGGCAGCAGAAGGCGGGCTTTACTGCTAGTGAGTGCTGATTGGTTGGCGAGCAGAGCAGCTCATTGGCTGTTCGCGCTCACTGACATCATGAACATACATGAGGCGCTGTTTTTAAACTCCTATAACTCGAGTTTAAAAGCTCTTAAAATATAACAGCAGTGTTAAAATGTTTTATGCTGTTCAGTGTTCTGGAAATGAATGGATTCTTTTACATTAAAATGTTGAAGCATTGATAAACTATGATTTTTCTCCATATGAACTCATTTATTTTGGACTCGCTCGGGAGCGCCCTCTAGCTTTTGAGAAACTCAGAGGACATTCTCCTCTCTACAAGTTCACTGGTTGTCTGCGCAAAGTGGGCGGAGTCGGCGACGCCACAAAGTTGAGTTTAAGGACGCGCCCCAAACCACATACTCGCACACTATATAGTGTGTAAAAATAGCGCATATACCATTAGGAGTGCACTCATTAGTGTAGTATGTGAAGTACAGGAGTTTGTGATTTGGGACGCGGCATAACTTTATGCAAATAAGGAGCGAAGCGATGTGGCGACTACAAATAGGAATTGAGCATTGAGCGGCGTAGTGTGCGCTTTGTCTCCGCCACTGTGAAACAGTGCGCTCTTTTTTGGTTCCTAGATAATTGTTCCTGCTAGAGATGGAATAATAGACCACCGTAGTCGTGACGTCAGTTTGTAGTCGGCTCTATGCTCTTATGCCCATATTAGGAACTCCGGGTCTGAGCTCCATTTCTCTATGGGCAGAATGAATAGCGTTTTCGAAAAATTGCCTCTATCGCCCCCTGTGTTAAATAAAAATGTTCAGAACCCGACATGTTTTGTCCTGTGAACATTCTTCTCTCTAACACCACTGGATCCTCTGAATTACAAGTCGTGAAGAGGGAAATAATGATATTGCTACATGTGAGCTGAAGCTACTGCGCACTGAGTTCACGTCATTAGACTGACAGCCTCCTTAATCAGGCTTTGTCAGTGTACATTTCCATGTACAGACTGAGGGCAGATGAACAGAAGACAAAACAAAATCAGCAGGTTTCCCTGCAGTTCTCTGTTCTTCATCTGCTGCTTTTAGCTTGATTTGAAAAGATCTACAAATGTACTGCACTCAGGCTGATCCAGTACAGACTCAAATCAAATCAAATCAATCAAAATCAAATCATGTTTATTGTCACTTCACATTTACACAGGTGCAAGGTGAGTGAAAATTTATTTACAAAAAAAGAGGAAATATATAATCTAAATATATACACATATACACAATATACACTGTAGTGCACTATTTCCAATGTACAGTTGTACAGTAATAAGTTATGAAATAAAACTATATGTACTGTTGTACTGTACACATTCTGTATGTGCAGTTAGTGAGTCTGAGCTAGATAAATAAATGAAATGCAGGTACACAGGGGACTGAATATTGATATAGAAACCTACCAGATTATACAAGATATGGATAGAAGATCTTCTGAATTACAATGTCATTAAAGAGTTGAAATATGAATATTGCTGCATGGGGTCTTTAATTAAAATTCATTAAGGTCCAGTTAGAGAAAATTTCCTCAAGCAAAGGTCCGGAACATCATAATGTCTAATTTGCATCATGATTCAGTGCCATATACTGTATACTGAAATAGCCTAGTAGGTATATCAATGTGAAATCAAATAAAGTACAATTTCTCTTTTTAGAGCGCACCATGTGAAATCACTCGAGTCTCGAGGACAGAAAAGTTACCCTGATTAAAATAGGACCACCCTGTCGAAATTAAATAATTCTCCATAGTTTATCGGTTATAGGTCCAGGGCCACATGGGACAGGGTGTGGATTCGGACTCTGACCGCGGTTTGCCTATTAGTGACTTCTGCTCTAGATCATGTCTACACAAACATTGCAGACTCATACAAGGCTGCCACCCCACACCTGGGTCAATCTGATCACGTCTCATTGTTTCTGCTCCCCAAGTATCAAACATGTGAAAACATCTACAAAGACTGTTAAAGTGTGGCCAGAGGGGGCGTCTCCTCTCTACAGCATCAGTTTCAGAACACTCATTGGAGTATGTTCTGCTCTGAAGCCACTACAGACTCTCACACAAACACATCCACCTCAGCTATAATGAGTTATATCAACTCATGTATTGACAGTGTCACGTCTGTCTTTGCTAATCTTTCCTACTGCTGAAATGCTAGTGTCTGTCGAAATGCACTTCCACAACTCTAACCCCGCCACATGTGGACTTTGACGGACTAAAAACAGTGTTGCGTAGTGCACATGGCGGGTAGCCATTATATTACAGAAGCAATATATTAATACTGTAATTCATAATACAGAACTGCAGTGGAAGTGGAAATTCTTAGTACACTCAGCATCTATCAGCACAGGAAGTGTGTACGGCTCTATTCTTCTCCTTTAGGGTCCTTTTGGTCTAAAATAAAACCCCATAAGTGAGAGGAGTGAGCTACAGTAAAGCAGTTAATGAGTAAAATTAACACAAAATTAGAGTAGGAACTAAATGTTAATGACTAAAATGGAAATTAGCTGACAATAGCGTGCTTTACTCACTTAAAGTACAAGTAAAAATGTTATAATTAAAAAAATACAACATACAAATCTCTCTAAATGCACAGTATGTTGAACAGAGTATAAGTAACTGGTTGCCAGCACCCTCTGTATGTTATCAATGTAATGAACAGTTTGATTACGCTGTAGTGAGACCACTCAGCCCTGGCCCCCTGGCGATCTGAGACGACGCACAGACTGCTGACCCGCCGCTCCGGCGCTATCTTTCTGCTAAGTTCCTAAATCAACCAAAAACGGTAAGTTCCTGCAATACCATGGCTACTGCTGGTTTCTTTGCCTGCTCAGAGTGTGGCATGTTTAGTTTAATCCCCTTTTCCACCTCTAGCGATAATGATAGTGGCTGTGTTTGTGCTAAGTGCCAGCTAGTTAGCTCCCTGGTGGATAAGGTGGACCAGCTAGAGGTGCGCATCCAGGATTTATTAAGGGACAGACAGCGAGATTCACCACTAGCAGCACTGGGTGCCTTAGGGAGAGTCAGCACCCCCTCGACTCCGGCGTTAGAGCCCTCACTGCGGGGTGAATGGGTGACGTCTCGGCGACATAGCCGGAAAGCTAAGGCTAATGCTAACGCTGAGGCCAAAGCTAGCCCACCAGAACACCGCGCTCCTCCGATTCACGTGTCAAACAGGTTTGCCCCGCTCAGCGAAGCACCCGCTGAGGAGCCTGTTAAAAGTGCTCTGGTTATAGGAGACTCGATCGTTCGACACGTGAAATTAGCTACTCCTTTAGGGGCGCCAGCAGTAACAGTTAGCTGTTTACCGGGAGCCAGAGCGCCGGACATTAGTTGCAACCTTAGACTGTTAGCTAATGAGAGATATTCGAGGATAGTCATCCATGTAGGGGCCAATGATATTCGTCTGCGGCAGTCTGAGGTAACTAAGGGTAATATTAGAGAGGTGATTAAACTGGCCCAGACGATGTCCGATGCCGTAATCTGCTCTGGTCCCATCCCAATGCGGCGCGGCGCTGAAGCCTACAGCAGACTCTCAGCGTTAAACTGCTGGATGTCCAAGTGGTGTTCAGAAAATCAAGTGGGCTTTATAGATAATTGGTTACATTTCGAGGGCAAGTCTGGTCTTATAGGTAGGGATGGTGTCCACCCCACGCGGGAGGGTGCTGCCTTACTTTCTTGCAGCATAGCACATAGTCTTTTAGTTAGTCGGCAGAGTAGTGTAAACAGCTGCTGACAATCCAGAGCCGGGACCAGGGCCGCAGACAGACAGGCTAAACCGACCGTCTGCGAACCGCCTTGAGGCGTCACCTAGGATCCACTGTATTGAGACTGTGTCTTTGTCCCTGCAATTCATAGAAAACCTCCCAGAACTAACAACCCTAGTCTCCACTCCATCAGACCCAATGGAGCTAGATGTACTAACCGACTATTTAGAAAATACCTTCCGATCTACTTTAGAAAATGTGGCGCCACTTAAAATCAAAAGGATAAGACAGAAAAAGCTCGCCCCATGGTACGATGATAAAACCCGTACCTTAAAACAAACAGTACGGAAACTAGAGAGGAAATGGCGATCAGCCAAGCTAGAAGTGTTCCACTTTGCCTGGAAGGAAAGCCTTATAGAGTATAGAAATGCTCTCACTAAAGCTCGCTCAGCATATCTGGCCTCGCTGATCGAGAATAATAAATATAATCCTAGAGTACTGTCTAGTGTGATTTCCAGAATTACAAAAAATCAGGCAGGCACTGAACCACAAATTCCGGCGACTCTCACCAGTGAAGTTTTTATGGACTTTTTAATAATAAAATTGAAAATATTAGACAACAAATTCAACCCACAGTATTAAATCCAACTTGGCTGTCATCTGATGTGGCTGATATAAAACATAACGTAGTTGCAGAGGAAAGGCTGGAAACTTTCTACCCACTACCACAGTTAGAACTAGAGAAGATTATCTCCTCTGCAAATTGCACAACCTGCACACTCGATGCAATCCCCTCAAAATTACTCAAAGAAGTATTACCAATTATCATTAATCCTCTTTTAACTATAGTAAACTCGTCCCTTAGCCTGGGCCATGTACCCAGAGCTTTTAAACTAGCAGTTATTAAGCCTCTGATCAAGAAACCAAACCTTGACACTAGCGTATTGTCTAATTACAGGCCTATTTCTAACCTACCATTTATATCTAAGATCTTAGAAAAAGCTGTAGCCCAACAACTTAGTTCATATCTACATAAGAACTACATATTTGAGAAATTCCAATCTGGATTCAGGCCACATCACAGCACTGAGACAGCTCTAGTTAAGATAACAAATGATCTTCTTCTTGCCTCTGATCAAGGCTACATATCCCTGTTGGTATTACTTGACCTCAGCGCAGCTTTCGATACGATAGACCACAATATTCTCCTAGAAAGGATAGAAAAAATGGTTGGAATCACAGGGACAGCCCTGTCGTGGTTCAAATCTTACTTAACAGAATGTTATCACAGTTATAAGTAGCCATGGCATTAACTTTCATTGTTATGCAGACGATATGCAATTGTACATATCAGCCAAGCCTGATGACAAATACAGGTTAAAGAAAATAGAGGACTGTGTAAGAGATGTGAAAGGTTGGATGTTACATAACTTCCTCCTTCTAAACAGTAACAAAACAGGTTCTCCTTCTGGGTCCAAAAGTGGCAAGAAATAAATTACCAGATTTAATTTTAAATCTCGCTGACTTTCCAGTTATACGTGGTTCAGCAGCAAAAAATCTTGGCATCATAATTGATCCAGATTTATCATTTGATCAACACATAGGCAGCATCACTAGGACAGCTTTTTTACACCTTCGCAATATCGTCAGAATAAGAAATGCCTTATCGCTGCACGATGCAGAAACATTAGTACATGCCTTTATTACTTCAAGGCTAGACTATTGTAATGCACTACTGTCAGGATGCACCAGCAAGAATTTAAGTAAACTTCAACTAGTTCAAAATGCTGCAGCCAGGGTTCTCACTAAAACTAGAAAGTTTGATCGTATCAGTCCAGTTCTATCATCACTCCATTGGCTGCCTGTTAAATTCCGTATCGATTACAAAATTCTTTTATTGACGTATAAAGCCCTACATGGGCTCCTGAGTACCTGCAAGACCTTATTTCCCATTATGAGCCACCACGATTACTCAGATCACAGAGTGCTGGCTTTTTAATAGTTCCCAAAATTCAGAAGGTTTCATCTGGGGGAAGAGCCTTTTCTTATAAAGCCCCCAAACTCTGGAATGATCTTCCAGAAAATGTTCGGGACTCAGTCGCAATCTTCAAATCTAGGCTGAAAACTCACTTGTTTAGTTTAGCTTTTGGTAGTTAATGTTCCCCCTTAGATAAAGGCAGCAGATCCAGGGGTCCATGGACACAGGGAATTATAGTAAACTGAGACGCTGGTGCTGTTGTCCCGCCGCTCGCACGCGATCACTCAGGTTTGTGGACGGTGGAGCGGAGGGATGCCAGATTGTTTCAGGGTGCTCCCGTGTCTGTGTGCCCTTTTGGTTCTCTCCTTTTAGTTAAGCTGTTATAGTCAGATTTACCGGAATCATTAGCCACACTCTGGAAATGTTCACATTCTCTGTTTTACATACACTCAAACAAAATAAAACTAATTCCATCTCCCTTCCTTTTTCCGAGTAAACGACTGCCCACCCGCTGGACGGACACTGATGGATGATTGTCTGTGGAGCTCTCCTGCTATCCACTTCAGACCAGTTGCCCACGCCCCAGTTGCCGCCACTTGACTTGGACTAGCTGCCCACTCCCACTCTACACTGAAGTTTTCATGGACTTCTAACTACTACTACTATTACTATTACTACTACTACTACTACTACTATTACTACTATTAATATTAGTAGTATAATAATTTTGTAGGTAGTTTGACCAGAGGAGGATGGGTCCCCCCTTGTGAGCCTTGGTTCCTCCCAAGGTTTCTTCCTCAGCTCTGAGGGAGTTTTTCCTTGCCACTGTCGCCCCTGGCTTGCTCACCTGGAGGATTTACATTTCATGTTAAAACTTTGTCTTTAATGGATTTCTGTGAAGCTGCTTCGTGACAACATCAGTTGTAAAAAGCGCTATACAAATAAATTTGACTTGACTTGACTTGACTTGATTAAAGTGGACAGTCCAGAGGAAGATGCTGATGATTCCAGGTTTATTAATGTGGTCAGTCTCTTTAGATGGACTGGATGTTGTTGGGTGAGGACATTTGTATTTCCTGGCGGGGGGTCTGATTGCCATCCCGGGGGGCCGTGTATTCAGTGGTGTTGGGCAGTCTGGGCACCACGCAGCAGCTCAGAGCACTGCGGGAAATCGCCATGTCGTGGGCGTGGTACCTACACGGAGAGAGAACCACACGGGTTTACTGATGAAGGAGGTGAAAAGTTGTATCATATAGAGTCTCACATAATCATGCACTTTGGTGAGCTGTGATTGACCTAGATAAGCTCCACCCACAGATGTGTTCTTTCATAGGTACAGTTTATAGAACGCTAGTAAAAATCACCATTCAGTTCACTGTAGAACAGACTCAGTTTATATCACAATACCTACATTTAGAGTCGGTTATTCATTCAGCCTAATGAGAAACTGTAGAACAGACTCGGTGTATATCACAATACCTACATTTAGAGTCAGTTATTCATTCAGCCTAATGAGAAACTGTAGAACAGACTCGGTTTATATCACAATACCAACATTTAGAGTCAGTTATTCATTCAACCTAATGAGAAACTGTAGAACAGACTCGGTGTATATCACAATACCTACATTTAGAGTCAGTTATTCATTCAGCCTAATGAGAAACTGTAGAACAGACTCGGTTTATATCACAATACCAACATTTAGAGTCAGTTATTCATTCAACCTAATGAGAAACTGTAGAACAGACTCAGTTTATATCACAATACCTACATTTAGAGTCAGTTATTCATTCAACCTAATGAGAAACTGTAGAACAGACTCAATTTATATCACAATACCTACATTTAGAGTCAGTTATTCATCCAACCTAATGAGAAACTGTAGAACACGACTAAAAAACACAAGCACTAAATTATTTAATACAAATAATAAAAAAGTAAAATACGGATTATTCATTATCTACTAAGAATTACTCTTTACCTACTATGAACTATTTAGAATCCACTGTGAAGTATTCAGTATCTACTACCAATTATTTAGTATCTACTATAATTGTTCAGTGTTTTCTATGAAGTATTTAGTAACTGCTATGAATTATTCAGTATGTGTTATTAGTTCATTCAGTAAACTACTACAAAACTAAGGTGTTCTAGCAGTTCTGCAGTTTAGAGAGTGAGGAACCAACATAGAGGCTCTTAGAGTTTAAGGGTGAAAGGCTACAGGAACTCACCATTCATCTGCTGCATGGTTGTACAACTCAACCTTAAAGGTGGTGCTGAGGCTGGTGAACCCCCCCACCACATATAAAAATTCATCAACCACCTAAGCAGCATGAAGCAGAGAGAACAACTTAAATACACTCTGTACATTCATATCAGATCAACAATCACTGAAATATGTACAGTAAAATGCAATAAAACAGTAATACAATGCAGTAATAGTTTTGAAGTTGTGTATATTTATGGTGCACATAAACAACAGGAGCCTGTGATGGACTGGCGACCTGTCCAGGGTGTATCCTGCCTTCTGCCTAATGATGGCTGGGATAGGCTCCAGCACCCCACCGCGACCCAGAAGGATAAGCGGTTTAGATGATGGATGGATAAACAACAGGAGGCCTAATTTGTAGCAGAAAATTGTACTTTGTGGTAACACTGAAATTAAAGCATTCAAAATCTCTTTTGTGCATGTGGCCCAACCTCAATGCCGAAGCTGCTGCGGGGGTTGAACATATTTTGGATGGCTCTCCAGGTGTTGGTGACGGGATCATATGCCTCCGCACTTCCCAGGCGCCTGCTTCCATCAACCCCCCCCACCTTCAAAAACAGAGAAATAAGGGAATAAATGTCAATCTAATCTCTACCTGCCATCTGGATCACACAGTGGGATTACCAGAAGCAATGATTTAAACTCCTTCCACTGTATTTGATCATTCTGTGGATTAACGCTTAAAGTATTTCACTGTATAAAGCAAAACTGAATCTATAACCATTAGACTGTAACAGTGCAGGTGTAAGAATGATAAAGCCTGAAACTCCCCACATTGTTCC